GGAGCTTTTTTTAAATGTATACCAACATTTTAGAGTCATTTTTTTTATTTATAGTTTTTTTTAATTCTAAATTCATATTATAAACTTTATTATGTAATCTAGCTAGTAATTCATTTTAGGGGTTTGCTTTTCTCATGTTAGATGAGAAAACAAATTCTTCCTACACACACCATAAAATATGTATCACTCTTTTTTTAAAAATAAAATAAAATAGGTGGATCTCACATTTAATGTATCTCTGACATGCGAGTAGAATTTTTCTACAACATAAGATTTATTTTTCCCTTCATTTTAATAACAAATTATTTCTTTTTCATTCCTTCAAAATTATCAAAAACAACTTTATATAATTATTAAACAGCTTTTAATTTTACTTTTCAAATATTTTTCTAATTTAGTTTAAACTAACTTTTAACTTAAATTTTTTTATGAAAAACATGCTCTTAAACATGTGGCGGTAGCTGCATCTTAATTATAGGAAAAAGTTCATAAATCACTTGTGGTTTATTTTTTTTATCATTTATATCTCCATATTTTTGTTTTCTTATCAATTTATTCTTGTGATTTTTTTCCATGTAATTCACCTTTAACACTGTTATTAATAAGTTAACTTGTCCATTTTACCCATATTTTACTTGTTAATTACGTGAGTCCCTTCCACCCGGTGAGAAATAAACCAGCACAAGCTGCTATTCCCTTGCCGAGAGACGGTCAATCATCTCTTCCATAACATCTTTAGGCTTTGTTTGGGAGTTTGGAGGGGAAGGAAGGGAATCCAAGAGGGCGAGGAAGGGAAAGGAAATGAAAGAAATTGAAGGGTATTCTCTTCCCTTATTTGGGAGTTAAAAAAAAAAGATAAAGGAAAAAACTAGAGGATTAATGAGATATTTTTACCCAATTTTTAAAATAAATACAATTATTATATTTTACAAATTAAATTAAATTTAAAATTTCTAACAAAATTATTTATGTACTTCTCACAATACTAAAAAAAATCATATTTTCAAAAAAAATTCCACGTTCCAAACGACGAAAATTTCGTCAAAAAATTATTTTTTAGTTACAATATTTTTCGTCGAAAAGCAACGAAATTTTTTCTTTGATAAAAATTTTCACAAAAATAATTTTTCGACGAAATTTAGTTTTAGTCAAATGTTTTGATAAAAATAATTTCCCCAATCAAATGTTTTAAACGAAGAAAGAATTCCATCAAAAATTTTAACGAAATATTTTTCGTTCAAAATTTTGATGGAAAAGTGTTCTGACCAAAATTTCGACGAAAATTGTTTTATAAAAAGGAAATGTGTCATTAGAAACTTTCAACGAAACTTAGATTATGTAAAGAATTTTGAAAAAATATTTTTTTCGTCAAACTTTTTTATTGAAATATGTTTCGTCAAAATTTTATACGGAAATATTTTCTGTCAAATTTTTTTTTGACAGAAATGTGTTATGCCGAAAATTTTGATGGAAATGTGTTTCGTTAAAAAATTCGACAAAATTATTTTTTGTCAAAAAGTTAAACAAAAATGTTTCTGTCGAAAACTTTCGACAAAATTTAAATTCTGTAAAAAAAATTGTGAAATTTTTTCTATCAAAAAATTTCAGTGGAAATGTGTTTCGTTGAAAATTTTGATGGAAATATTATTCGTCAAAATTTCGATGAATATTTTTTTTGTGAAATATTTTGAGGGAAATGTTGTGAAGAAATTTAGATTTTGTAAAGAAGTTTGACAAAAAAAAAAATTTCCTTCAAAATTTTTTACAGAAATATTTTTAGTCACAATTTTGAAGGAAATGTTTTTCGTCGAATTTTTTGCGGAAAATTTTTTTGAAAATGTTTTTCGTAAAAAAATTTGACGTAATTGTTTTACGGCGAAAATTTTCGATGGAAATGTGTTTCGACAATATTTTACATGGAATTTAGATTCTATCAATAATTTTGACTGAATTTTTTTTCCGTAAAAAAATTATGTCTGTGATTATGGAAAAATCTGGTTCCATCTCTAATTTTGTCTTTAAATTTTACGAATTTTTTTGATAAAAATCATTTTCGACGTATATGATTTTCATCAAAAATTTCATCGCTATTTTTGACAAAATATTTTTCGTCGATAAATTCTGTCGATATTTTTGACTTTTCTAGTAATTTTACATTTAAAAATGATTCACATTTATGTAGTTATTACATTTTAATGCTAAGGGTAGATAAATAATTTTTAATATTTTTGTCTTCAAACCCCCCAATTTGGTGAAACTTTAATTTCAAGAAGAAGAATGATTTTGGAGGGTCAATAAAATCCTCAATTCTTTCCCCTCATTTTTTAAACTCACAAACAAGGAAATGACTTTCTAAAACCTTCTTTTTACTTTTCTTCCCCTCCTAAAATCAACTCCAAAACAAAGCCTTAGTTTGGAGGGAAAGGGAAGGAGGGAGATTCAAGGGGGAGAGAGGGAGGGGAAGGAATGGGAGGAAATTGGAGGGTATCCCCTTTCCCTTGTTTGAGAGTCAAAATAATGGAATGGGAGGAAAATGGAGGATTAATGAGATATTTTTATCATTTTACGCTTTTCTTAATTAATATAATTATTATACTTAACAAATTAAATTTAAAATTTCTAAAAATGTTATTTATATACTTTTCTCACTACTAAAAAATAACATATTTTCAACTTAATTTCTACATTGCAAATGACGAAAATTTCGTCACAACATTTTTTTTCGTCAAAAAATGATGAAAATTTTTCTCCGATGAAAATTTTTAGAAAAATAAATTTTCTATCAAAATTATCGCCAAAATTTAGTTTGTCATAAGTTTTGAGGAAAATGATTTCCTCCAACAAATGTTTTAAACGAAAAAAGACTTCCGTCAAAAAATTTGGCAGAATGTTTTTCGTTTAAAATTTCGATAGAAATGTGTTCTAACAAAAATTTTGACGGAAATTGTTTTGTCAAAAATTCAGAGGAAATTGTTTCATTCGAAACTTTCGACGAAATTTAAATTTTTTATCGAAATATTTTTCGTCAAAAACTTTTACGAAAATATTTTTGGTCGAAATTTTTTGACAGAAATGTGTTATGTCAAAATTTTGAGGGAAATGTTTTTTTATCAAAAAACTTGACGAAAATATTTTTCCTAGAAATTTTTTCATGGAAATTTGTTTCGTTCAAAATTTTGACGGAAATTTTTTTTGTCAAAAAGCTTAACGAAAATGTTTCCATCGAAAACTGTCGACGAAATTTGAATTCTGTAAGAATTTTGATTAAATTTCTTTTCATCACAAATTTTCTATGGAAATGTGTTTCTTTGAAAATTATGAGGAAAATATTTTTCGTCAAAAAATTCGATGAATATGTTTTTTTGTGAAATATTTTGCGGGAAATGTTTTGACAAAATTTAGATTCCGTAAAAAATTTTGACAAAAAAAAATTCCGTCAAAATTTTTACAGAAATGTTTTCAGTCACAAATTTTGAAGGAAATGTTTTCCGTAAAAAAATTTGACGTAATTATTTTACGTCGAATTTTTTTAATGGAAATGTGTTTCGTCAAAATTTTGGACGAAAATATTTTTGTTTAAAGTTTCGACGGAATTTAGATTCTATCAATAATTTTGATTGAATTTTTTTTCGTAAAAAATGTATGTTAGTGATTATGGCAAAATCTGATTCCGTCTCCAATTTCGTCTTTAGGTTTGGCAAAAAGTTTTTGCCGTATATGATATTCATCAAAAAAATTATCACTATTTTTTGACGAAATATTTTTCGTCGATAAATTCTGTCGATATATGAGATATTTCTACTAATGTCACATTTAAAAATGATTCATATTTATGTAGTTTTCATATTTTAATGCTTAGGGTAGATAAATAATTTTTAATATTTTTCTCTTTAAACTCTCCAAATTGGGGGGACTTTTTTTTTGGGGAACTTTAATTCTAAGAAGAAGGAGAGTTTTGGAAGATTTAACAAAAATCCTCAATTTCCTTCCTCCATTTTTAAACTCACAAACAAGGGAAAGGCTTACTAAAATCCTCTCCTCCCCTTCCTTCCCCCTTCAAAAACCAACTCCCGAACAAAGCCTAAGATTCCCTTGTCATCCTCTCAAGCTCCTCAATTGCCTCCAAGAACCCATCACCGACCATTTCATCTTCTTCATCATCACTGGTCACGAATTGGTCCACCGACTTGGTTCTCCTAAAACCTCTGATTGAGAAGCTGGGTTTTGCAGCAACAAAGGTAGGGTTTTGGAGCAATGGGTGCCTCTCTTGTGGTAAAGACAGAGAAGAAAAATAAACCCAATTTGAATATAGGAGCAAGCCTCGCATAGGCATCTTTCCTTCACTCGGGTACTACAAACGCAATGGAGGATGCCATTTGATGAGATGGTGTGGGGGGGGAAAGAAATAAACAAAACACTGAGCACATGAAATTCTAGCTTCCAATCACCCTTTAAATTTTTGCACTTTAACCCTCGAACTTCTGCAAATTATAAAACTGACCCCAAACAATTAAAATTTACTAAGAAACCCCCAAATATCCAGAAATTAGGTTTTAACCTCATATTTTTTTTATCTCGGCATGAGGAATATTATGATTCTCCCTACCTTTTAGAAAAACAATCAACAAGATTTAAAAAACAGTTGAGCATGCTGCATGCAGCATTAATTAAGTGCACTCTTTGATCACTTCCGCCACTACTATCATAAGTTAAAAATTTGGTATACAGTTTCTACTATACAAACATAATTGTGATATTCCAATACAGTCATACAAAATTTATATAACACTCACCACATTTATTCATAAGTAGTGGCAAGACAAATAAGAACCATTCAAACATTCACTCATCCATATAATATTTCTAGGAATCTGCATTCAAAGTAGGGTTACACTAACAAGTATTATTCAATTCATACGGCGCAATTAAACTGAGAGATAAGTAATTAGAAAACAAATTGTGGAGCATAAAAATGTGACGGCTATATTTAACTATCAAAATTAATCCAATGGCTTACAGTCTCTCAATCGCTTAAGATCATCAATCAAGGCCGTCAAATTCTCGTGGGACGATCCGCCTTCTTGAATAGCTTTTTGAGCCTTTTTCCCAAACTCTTGAGCGCGTCGTCTGATAATGTCAGCTTCATGACCACCGTCCATCAACCTCCGCACAGCTTTCTCTATGCGATCCCTACCAACCAGCTTTTTACTCTCCCAAAAACCACAAAATTGCCACTCCTCTGCACCCACCTCCACCCCAATCCCCCGCACCTGCGTTATCAGCTTCTCGTTGTAAAACTGATCGCTGTGCACCGGCCACGTGATCATCGGAACCCCAGCGCTGACGGCCTCGACGGTGGAGTTCCACCCACAATGAGTCAGGAATGCACCGACGGCGGGGTGGCCCAGGATCAACACCTGCGGGGCCCACCCTCTTATGATCATACCTTTCTCCCTATTCCTCTCATCGAAACCCTTTGGCAGCCACTTTTCCTTCTCCTCTTCGCTTTCATCGTCCTTCCCTTTCTTCTCAGGAACCACCCATATGAATCCGTGACCTGTTGCTTCGATCGCGCTTGCCATCTCGTACAGCTGCTTATCAGGGAAATAGCAAATGGTTCCAAAGCATATGTAGAGCACCGAGTTGTCTCTCTTCGAGTTAAGCCAACTCAGGCACTCGTGCACGCTCAGCAAGCTCTTTTGGCCCCTCTCTGCTTGTTCTTGAGCTGTTTTATAAATAAGAGAGGCTGGGCCAAGATGCCATGCCTTGTGACCGGTGGTTTTCTCGTAGTGACGGACATACTCTTCTCCATCAAGCTCGACGAAGTTGTTGATGAGAAACCCATTGCTTTTGAGCGCTACAGTGAGCAGCGGATCCATGTATCCCTTGGAGTCCTTATGCGGCGTTGCGTTGATGGTGATGTGGTGAGGAAAATTCGGAATGACAAAAGAACTGGCGGAATCATCATCGATGGGGTGTGCCTTGAGGGACTCCATGGCACAGATGGTAAAGAGAGAGAAACCGTTGAAGGACAGTCTAGGGATGCGAAGCTTGTTTGCCAAATCATGCACCCATGGGTATAAAAAGTCCGCCACGATACAATCGGGTGGGTCCTGCTCCACGAAATCCGCGATGAGTCCTTGTAGCTTAATGACGGCATGGTAGACCCTAATAGAGTTATCGAGGTCAGTGACTGCGGATAAGCTTTCGATGCCATCAGGGAGGCCTACTTCTTGGGAAGGGAATTGGAAGGTGTGAACGTGGAAGTGGCTGGATTTGTGATTCTCAAGGGATTGGGCATTCGATGGAGTGGTGATTATGGTGACGTGGTGGCCGCGTAAGGCAAATAATCGGGCTATGTCGGAGAGTGGGATAATATGTCCAGCTGCTAGGTATGGAATGAAGTAAATTTTGAGTGGCCTATGCCTATCTTCAACGTCCATTGCGGTGGAATGGAAGAGATATTGTGCTTAGACCTGCTTTTTGCTTTTTGCTTTTTGCTTTTTTGCCTTTGCCTCGAACTCCAGTCTTTATATATCTTGGAAACTAGTTTGAATAAGCCAAAGGATTTTCGTCATTGTTATTTCCGTTGGCAAAACGAGCTAGGAAGGTTGGAAACATGGCTTTTTTATACAATTTTCATTTTTAATGAATTCTTTTGACCTATTCTTCGTTATTGAATCATTTTATATGAGTATCAGTAATAAAAAATGAATCTGAATTATGTAATAAAACTCCCTTCAAATTCTTGTAATAATAAAACTTGTGATACACAAGAATGCGGTGATATCCAATCAGAATAACCGTAACAAGAAAAGTTTGTACAGCAAAAAACAAAACACAAGTTGGCTAATGTTGACGGCCTTCCCTGTGTTTTTTTGACTTTCTCATATCAATTGGCCGGCTTCCATAATTAACTTATAATTTAGAGTAATATTATGTGCATCTTAATAATTCCTGACTCACAAGCTGCAGCTATACTAACCTGGGGACGTTCAGTAGAGCAGAAATTTTTTTGTTTATGACAACCATGTTTTTTATGAATATGCTAGGAAAATGAATTTCCTAGGAATATTAGGCTGAAATATTTCCTATAATATTGATTCAAGTTTCTTGATTTATATTTGATTAATTGTCATTAATTATTGATGTGAATGTGAGCTGATTTTACAAAACTATCCTTTATAACATTGCTATATGAACTTAGAATATTGCTGCCAATATTGGTTGACCGATGAAGCAGCGGAGGCACTGCCGCCTTGATCAGTTCCCTCCGTTAAAATCACAACCTGAATAGAAATAATCAAGTTTTCTAAACAGTCACTAAATTAGATATATAATCAACCATGTTCTGCCATTATGTATTAGGATATAGACATAATCAACCATATAAACATGAAAAAATGCGAGATTTGGAGAAAGTCTTTTGTTCCAATGACTTACATTAACAATCCCATATTTAGGGTTCTAATTAGAGGTGTAAATGGGTCAGGCTGGGCTGGGCTTTAGCCTTCCTGGCCTAAGCTTACGTAAAAAAAAATTCAGCTTATATGGTCTATTGGCCTATTAAAGGCTTTGTTTACAGGCCAAGTCTAGCTTATTTTTTAAAAATTAGAAAGTCTGCTATGGACTATAGACCTCGTAGGCCTCCCACTGCAGATACTGAACAAAGAAAATAATTGTATAGAGAAAAGAAAGTTTCATTCATGCATGCACTAATATTTCTCGTAAAAAATAAAAAATAACAAACAAGAAATAATCAACATAATACCCCAGCTCTAGAATATCAGAGAGGAATTAGAGTCAAAGAAATAGGAAAAATAAGAAAGAAATACAATTACTGGGTCAATCAAAGACGAAACTTAGAGACGGAAATGAGAAGTCACTTAGAAGCGGTGGTGCAAAAAAGAAATTAGGGTTGGTACTTTACCACCTAGAATAAATATTTTATTTTTAAAAATTAAATAGGTCAACCTACAAGGCTTTAAGCCAGGCTTGACAAAATTGGCCTATAACCTATTTGTTAAAAAAGCTTTTTTATAAGTCTAATTTTTTCAAAAAAAGACATGCTAGGCCATGCTTAACATAGGTCGAGCTGTAGGTTAGGCCAGGCTAGCCCATTTACACCCATAGTTCTAATGAATCTAACTTATAATTTTAGAATCCGAACAAAAGTAAAAAGCGAAAACAATCAAGGGATGAAGTTAAGGAAAATGAGATTTGGAATTAGATGGTGGTAGTTAATTGGGGGCAAAGAATGAAAGGATAAGGTTAGAAGAAAGCATAAGGTAGAGATACTAGAAAATGAGAATGGAAGATAGAAACAAAGAAGAATATGACCAAAGAATCAATAGATAGCGGAACCGAAAAAACAAGCGAGCATATCTACGAATCTAAATAGCTAAGGGTATTTTAGACATGAAAATATGGGAAAATTTCCCACTAAAGTGTAAATCCAATAGTACCATCTACCTGTATTCTTCAATGGGATCTTGCTTCACAAAAATAAATCTTAGAAATCTGATTTTTCTAGAAAAATTTTCACAATTTTTATACTAAATATGGATAAATAGGATCCCAATATCAATTGTCTAAGAATCTAAAATTTATCCTTTACCAAATACTTCTGTGCTGGGAAGAATAAAGTGAGTTCAACTCTCTTTTACACTCTATTGTTTCCCCTCCCATTGTGAATTTTCCCTAGACTAATTCTAATTTCTAGCCATGAAAAAAAAAAAGTTGATGTAACAAAATAAAAATTCTGGACACATTGCCTATTCTTATTATAGGGTTAAATATGTATTCCACATATTATCACCCCCGCGCACACACCTTTTCATAAAATCACCTATCACTAACAAAAGCATGCATGTTCCCACAATTGGCACAGATATTCGCTTACATAAACTGATGCGATCTTTTATACAAAAGTACAAATCTATTAGAATTCAAACTCAATTTTGATTTTACATCCTTTCCACCATCAAAAAATTTAAATTTAAATTCAAATTGAATTTCTTCATCACTTATCAAGAATCTTATGAAATCTTATATAAAATTATGGATACTTGAAGAAAACTCATGGAAGTTTGTGGAAAAGCTTGAAGACTGTAGAAGAATCTAAATCTTTCTTGAATTCTATCTATTGTCAACCCATGATGAGTTGGAAATCTTATTCTATTATTATGAGTTGTATTTAGCATGTAGTTGTTATAAGTTGTCAAATTCAATTTGAAGACTAAAAAATTACAAGAATGATAAAAAATGGTAACTAATAGTTGTAATAGGTTATAAAGTTCAAGTTAAACTCTTTCACGTATATCTATATATATGTAGTATGTTAGGCGTTAGATGAGTGGATAGAAAGATTGAAAAGTGTGTGAAGAAAGAATAAATTATTAAAATACTTGTGAGAAAAATAGAAAAAAGATTTGTGAGAAATAAAAAAAGAGATTAGTGTTGTAATAAAAAAATCAAATAACCTCCAAAAAAAAAAAACAAAAATCAAATAAAAAGTTCTTCTTCTTCTACTATATTTCTTTTGTTTGTTTAATCCATCTCCAGCAGAATCTTTTGGCTTATTGGATACTCACCCTTCTTGCGTATTCGTCAATAGCTTTGTACAGACAGATTATTTATCCTTTATCCTTTATTTTATTTTATATAAATCATCCAGGATCCTATTGTAAACGGGCTCGTAATCCGAATTCGAATTAGGTTGTTTCACTGTTTCAATCAGTATGTCTTTTAGTTCTCATCTTATAAGAAGTGCAATTGGGGGAAAGTTTATTTGTGTGGGTGATTAATCATTTTGTCCTTAATTAAGGACAAAACATTTCATTCATCTACTTGATCGTGACCGACTTATATATTCGAGTATAAAAACTTGGTACTCAAGTATTTTTCACATAACAGTACTTATTCGAGTACACTAATTGAGTACTCAAATATTGTTGGTCATCCGAGTTTTATCAATAATATATTCGAGTACAGGGGTGGGATCCTTCAGTATATTGCGGGACCATAACCTAAAGCCATGAATTGGCCACCTGCACTGTATACTATATATTTTTTTAGTTCCTTAATTAATTCTGATGTATTACCGGGAAAAAGTTTTTATAATAGAAAAAAATAGATATTATATTATAGGAAAATTCTAATATCATATCATATATATATATATATATATAAATATATATATATATAAAAAAGCTAGAGACCCGTTTATTTAAAAAATAAAAAACAAAAAAATAAATAATATATTTTTTTATAATATTTGTAAGAAAAGTTTGTTTTCTTATGAAAAATAAATCACTTTGTAATATCAGTTTCCGTAAGCTTACATTGGGATATTTTTATTTGAGAAAATTCTTTCTTATTTTAAATGACAGAAAATTATATCATTTTAAGAGAGATACAAACATAGAAAATTTGAATTTTAAATTAAAAAAATCATTCACTTTCTCTATCCCATGATTTCTATTTTTCTGTGTCTATCTCTCTCTTAAAATGACATAACTTATGTCATTTAAAATGATAAACACCAAATTCTTTTTATTTTTATTTAAAAAATTCCGTTGTGTTTTGTTTTCCAAATTCTGACACAGTTTGAAACAGCAGGCCACATGTACACAATTACGAGAAAATTTATTGTGGTTAGTATTAAATATTTCCCACGTTTACAGCAAAGAAAAAAATGGATTTGTGTTCCTTCCTGACACGATCACGTGAGCCAGCACGTATAACATAGTGTACGTTAATAATAAATTTTGATTCATAAGAGATTATTATCAGCAAGACAGCAACCCATCACGTGGCCATAAGTTTTCTTTCCCACCGCAAGCTGAAAATTAAATTATGAAAAATAGTTGTCTTATATCAAGAGACAATTATCTTATGATGAACGTTCGTAAAATTTTGACCCCTATTTTTTTATATTTTTTTAAAATTTATGGACTTCACAACTTTATTTCACAAATATAAGATCGTGAGTAAAGTGTGTGTCATTTTAAAAGGTATAAAGTTGTATCATTTTAAGAGAGAGAAAGAGATAGATAAAAGAAGAGAGAGAGTTGACAAAAAAATAAAAGTGTGGGTCTCATCTCTTTGTGAGAATGAAATGATATAAGTTGTATCATTTAAAAGGATAAACATTTTTCTCATATAAGATACTTATGTTATGTGATATAAGATTAATAATTTCCTTAATTTATATACACAACCCATGCTGCCTTTTTTAGTTTGTTATAAGAGATTATTACTTGCAACCCTCCATCTTGTGAATTATCTTCTCAAGAAAAGCATATACACAACCTATGATGCCTTTCTATGAAGCACGGATACGGCAAAAAAAAATTTCACGTATCCGATACGTGTTTTATCCGCGAACGCATTCCAGACGTTATATCACGTATCAAAAAAGTCAAAAAATATCTAATTCGGTCAAATGGTTAACTTGTAAAATTTTAAAAAATAAAGGGCGAAGATTTTGGCTTAAAAAAAGCCCTAAAACTAGAATAAACTCAAATATCGTCTTCTGAAACTTATCTGAAATCGGAGTCATCCTCTCGTCGTTGCTCTGGTCTGCTGCTGGTCGTCGTCGCTGCTGGTCTCGTCTCTGCCATCTCGCTCCTTCCATCTCTGTTGGACTTCCGGTCAGTTTTTCTAATCTCTCTGTCTGCCATCTCGCTCCTTCTTCCATTTTTTCTAATCGTCTGCCATCTCTGTTGGACTCTCGCTCGTTTCTATGCGTTTTTGCGTTTCATTTTTTTTTATAGTTGCTTCTTTTATTTTTTTGCTTTATATAAATACGTTGCTTTGTTGTTGTTTTGTTTTATATGATTTGCTTCTTCCATTTTTTTTTGTTTTATTTTCTGATCGTTTTTTTTGTTTGTATTTTTTGCTTTTATTTTTTACTTTATATAAACTGCCATTATTTTATTTTATATGATTTTATTTTTATTTTTTATTTTTAATATGATTCTATATTTCTTTATATTTGTCATTTATGTGCCTTTTTTTATATATTTTTTTATATTTGCTGCTTTTAATTTTTCTTTTTAACATGATTTTATATTTTCTATTATTAAATATGATTCCGTTTTTTGAATATGATTATGTTTGCAAAATATAATGAAGGAGAAAGTCAATATTGGGACATTAGTGGAGATGCAGTTGATACCTTTAATGATGTTGGAGCTTTAGATGGTGTTGCCCTTTCCCTAGATGAGCCAGAGTTGGAGGCAAATATTATTAGTAGCACTCTATATCCACATACTAGTTGATGTATTTATCAATTTTGTATGGATAATCTATTAATTGTGCTTATGATTTTCTTTTTATTATATTTTGTTAATGTGCAATACACTTTATATTTAAAAAAATATTTTTATACTAAAACGTATTGGAACGTATCGAAATATTAGTATTTTTGAAGTAACGTATCGATATCACGTATCGGGAACGTATCGAAAACGCCGTGTCGGTATCGGTGCTTCATAGCAGCCTTTTTTAGCTTGTTATAAGAGATTATTATTTACAACCCTTCATCTTGTGAATTATCTTCTCAAGAAAAGCAAGTTTTTTGGCCATTAGGTGATGGAACCTAGTATCTGATACTGCTTCAACTCTGCACACCGAACGTACTCGCTCCTCAACTTTGGTGAGTTGGATCTGCGAATCATCATGCTGCTGTGTGAGCTTCATCATCTCCACTTTCAACATGTTGTGGTCGTTCTTGAGCTGCTCAGCTTCATCCTCCAATGCTGCAGATCGAAGCAGCTTGTCATACTTGTTTCTCCTTTTTATGTTCTTCAGCAAATGCTTCTTCCCTCCCTGAAATCCTTCATTTGCAAACTCCTAACGTTCTGAATCAACCTTCATAAAGCCCTGTGCACATATCACACAAATAATATCAGTGCAACCTCCCCAATAAGCAATAAGCCAACAAATTTTAATTTATTGAATAACAAATATTGAAGAGCTGACATAGGTGTTAAGTTGGTGAATGAAGCTTGAAAAATTGTTGTGCTTGAAATACTTGGGGAGAATAGTTGTGGAGAATTCGTGAGAATCCCAAACCTCGAAGCTATCACGGGTTACGGCCCATGACACAATCAGGTTGGTATCCGGATCCAACACTATTTCGAACGACTTCTTCACGAACGGTGGAGCCTCCACAACAGGCGGATCTAAGTTTATGAGAATTGGGGCAAGTGCCCAGATATGATTTAAAAATATAGAAATATCTTGCACTTAAAATTCAAGTTTTCCCAATTTAATCTCGGGATAAGATATTGTAATAACAATTAGGATTACTACCAATATTATTACCAATCAATTTCACCGTTAGATCGATTATGTTGATCGAACGGTTATATTTATTTTCACTTTGTATGGTTATGCACTACGAGAAAATGTATGTTTTGCGACAGATGATTCGCGACGGTCAGGGGCCAACCGTCGCAGAATAAATCATAACGACGGTTGCTTCGACGTTGTGCTGAAACGTAGTTGAAAATCACAATTTGACGACGGATTTTAGCGACGGTTATAAACCGACGCAGAATATTTAATTTCACGAATGTTACCAACCGACGCAGAATGTGAAATGTAAGGCGGTTACCAACCGTCGCAGAATATAAATTTCATAATGATGGATGTTTTTTTATGAACAATGGCACTTAGTATGATTTGAACACGATATACATTGGAGGAATTCAATGACAACAACTACTATGCCATTGAATTTATTGTAATATTTTATATTATTCTTAATATATTTATTACATACTTTTGTATAAATTTAAATCAACCGAGTCAATGATGGGTCTAGTCTTCATAATGTTGGTTCAACCATCATTTTGTGACTTTAATGTCTCTCATGTTGAATTTATCTCCTACACACATATAAAACTGTGTTGGACCCATCTTTTTATTCTCTTTTCTTTTCACACGGGCCCATATACTTTTATACGTGTAGGAGATAATTTTATCTCTTACAATATGAGAAACATCGAACCGTTATTTTGTTGAGTATCTCTCCCCCCCCCCCCCCCCAAAATCTCCTTGCTATATTTTGGACAAAAAGCACCGAAATTGATTATTGGTTACATAATTTCTATAGTAATTTCCCTAATTAATATATGGGTCGGGGCAATTAGTACGATGAAAACTTAATTGATAGAGTAGAATCTAGAAAGTCAATGATGTAATAAGAAGTAGTAAATATTGCTCATGGATATCATTTTTGAAAGCTTGTTCATGTCATTGCATGTCTACAAGACATGCTAGTTGACAATTATTCATATAATATGGAGATTGCAAGAGAGGTGGACATAGTGAAGGATAACTACACATGTATAGTGGCAAGAAGGAGGTTGGGATTAGCTAGAAAATATAATAACAAGTATATTAAAAATGATAAAAATATATATAATTTGAATTAAAATATTTTTGAAATATAATTTTTATTTGAATATATATATGTTTTAATATTATATTTTTTCATATATATGTTTTTTTATTTTTTTCTCAACTAATAAAAATTTGTATTCCAGTTTACCAAAAATAAAATTTTATACCAATCAAAAAAAGATCTCAATTAATGACTATATATAGGGAACTTGGTGCGCTACGTGGCACATCACAGATACCCGATCAAAATTAATGAGTATAACAGTCACAATAAAAAATGACTATTTAATTAATATACCTATCACAATTAATATACCAATCACCAATCACAATTAATGTACCAATCAAAATTAATTGCGATTGGTACATAAATTATTTGTGATACCATTGTAACAAATTCAAATGATGTTTGTGAGAGATAAAATATGCCAAATGAGATGTTATTGAATAAATCTCGAAAAGTTATGTGAAATAAAATAAAAAATATATGATTGTCGATATTTACTATAAAAAGTTTTGACCGACGTTGATTCCATCCCGACGATTGATTTGGCAAAGGTTGGTTAATCGTCGCACTGCTTTTTTAGCGATGGTTCTAACCGCCTCGAAATGGCAATTGAACCGTCGCAAAATACACCTTTTCTTGTAGTGATAATTCTTCATATTTAATAATTTATATTTATTTTCACTTTTGTATGGTTATGATTTTTCATATTTAATACTTTTATATTAAATAACCATATAAGATAGAAATAACTTTTACTTGCATGCATAATTCGCTATACTGTGTAGCGAATTATGCCGCGTGGCATTTTGGCAAAATTTACTGTTGGCGTGGCAGTCTGATAATTTTTTTGTCCAAGCGTAACACACTGTCCTGATTTCAGATACGATCCTATAAAACATTTAACTTGGGGATAAGATCAATTAACATTATATCTTAATCATTAATCTCGTAAATTTTTAATAATTTTAATTTATTGGATCACATTTTATTAATTAATTATTAAATTTAAATAAATTACCACGGATAAATTGATGGAAAACAACAATTAAAATTTGGTATCATTAATTATATCTCTAATTTATAAGTAAGAACCTTAATCCGTTTTCTCTATTATTATTTTTGGGACATACATTTTCTCTATTTCATTGGTTTCTCACAAATGGGTTTTGAATGGGCAATGGGTTGTATCTGAAAATAACGTACAAATTTTATGAATGACCGGAAAGAGTAAAAAAAAAAAACATTTGTTTAATTGACTACCAGATTTGAGTGCACGGAGATTCACTTCGATCGAACTCAATCGAGGGATAACTTATTTGAAAATCAGTACTTTACCTTCCAAATTTGATGGCTATATATACATAACCAACAAAATTGTGGAGAATAAAATTAATCCCGCGGCTTACTGTCTCTCAATCGCTTAAGATCATCAATCAAGGCAGTTAAATTCTTGTGCGACGATCCACCTTCCTGAACAGCCTGTCGAGCCTTTTTTCGAAACTCTTGAGCACGCCGTCGTATATCGTCAGCTTCATCGCCACCGTCCAACAACCTCCTCACTGCTTTCTCTATGCGATCTCTAGCCACCAGCTCTTCACTCTCCCAATAACCACTAAAGCGCCACTCCTCTGCACCCACCTCCACCCCAATCCCCCGCACCTGAGTTATCAGCTTCTCATTGTAGAACTGATCGGTGTGCACCGGCCACGTGATCATCGGAACCCCAGCGCTGACAGCCTCCACGGTGGAGTTCCACCCACAATGCGTCAGGAATGCACCGACGGCGGGGTGGCCCAGGATCAGCACCTGCGGGGCCCACCCTCTTATGATCATCCCTTTCTCCCTATTCCTCTCTTCGAAACCCTTTGGCAACCACTTTTCCTTCTCCTCTTCGCTTTCGTCGTCCTTCCCTTTCTTCTCAGGAACCACCCATATGAATCCGTGACCGGAAGCTTCGATCGCACATGCCATCTCGTACAGCTGCTTGTCAGGGAAAAAACAAATGGTCCCAAAGCATATGTAGAGCACCGAGTTGTCTCGCTTTGAGTTAAGCCAACTCAGGCACTCGTGCACGCCCAACACGCTCTTTTGGCCCCTCTCTGCTTGATCTTCCACTGTTCTGCAAATAAGAGAGGCTGGACCAAGATGCCAAGCCTTGTGACCGGTGGTTTTCTCGTAGTGGTGGACGTACTCTTCTCCGTCGAGCTCCACGAAGTTGTTGATGATGAATCCGTAGCTTTTGAGCGCTACCGTGAGCAGCGGATCCACTACTCTCTTGAACTCCATGGGTGGCATTGAATTGATGGTGATATGGTGAGGAAAATTTGGAATGACAAAAGAACCGGCGGAATCATTGATGATGGGGTGTGCCTTGAGAGACTCCATGGCACAGATGGCAAAGAGGGAGAAACCGTTGAAGACCAGTCTGGGGATGCGAAGCTTGTTTGCCAAGTCATCCATCCACGAGTACAAAAAGTCCGCTACGATACAGTCGGGTGGGTACTGCTCCACGAAATTCTCGATGGGTCCGCGGAGCAGCATGGTGGCTTGGTAGATCCTAATAGAGTTCTCAAGGTTAGTGACCACGGACAAGTTTTCGACGCCGTCGGGTAGGCCCACTTCTTGGTAAGGAAATTCGAAGGTGTGAACTTGGAGGTTGTGGGATTTACGAAGGGTTTGAGCGTTGGATGGTGTTGTGATGATAGTGACGTGGTGGCCACGGGATGCGAAGTATAGGGCTATGTCGGATAGAGGGATCATATGTCCAGGTGCAAGGTATGGAACGAAGTAAATTTTTAGTGGCCCTTCTTCAACGTCCATTGCGGTTACAGAGACGGTGCTGGTCCTGGCTTTGCATTTCTGATTTCCCGTTGTCTGAAACTGATGTCTTTATGCTTAAACAAGTTCGAATAAGCCAAAAGATGTTTCGTCGTCTTCCTTTTGTGTGGAAACGATGATTAATATTAGTTAATATTAGAGTAAATATCATTTTTAGTCCCTAACAAAAAAAATACGGTTTCCACCTTAGTTCCTTACAAAAATAAATTAGTCAGTTAGTCCCTAACAAATTCAAAGTTGATCCATTTTAGTCTTTTTGAGGGACTAATATGGATTTTTTTTGAATTTGTGAGGGACCACGATTTCAATTAAACGAGTCCACTTTGAATTTGTTAAGAATTAATTGAATAATTTATTTTTGTAAGGGACTAAAGTGGAGACAGTATTTTTTGTTAGGAACCAAAAAAGATATTTACTCTTAATATTATATGCACGTTACTTTCTTTTTTTCTTTTTTACAGAATTTACACAAGTAGTTTTTCTTGTAGGGTGTGTTTGGTATAAAAGAAATTTTTTGGTGACCGGGAATCATGATTAATAGGAATTCAGTAGAAATTGAGTTTACTTGGAATCTTACGAAAGATGTGTTTGGTTCGCCAAAATATTACCGGGAATATTGGGTAAAAATTATTGATTCCATATTTGGTTTAGAACGAAATATGACTTGGAATATGAGGTTATTTTACAAAAATAACCCCAAACTATTTTTACTTTTGTAATTGATAGATTGAGTCTAGATTTTTATGTGTATTGGGGTATTTTTGTACCAAAATTTATTGTTGTGTTTTCCCTTTACTTGGTATTCTGATTGGTATTCCGAATTACCATATTATTTTTGGTAATCTGAATAGTGACTTTTCTTTATAAATCAAATTACCGGTAATCCTTGGATATCCGGGAATCGTAATTTATTCCTTCTACCAAACGTGATAATTACATTTACCAAGGAAGGATTACCGGTAATCCTCTCCAAAAACTTGAACCAAACACCCGTTAAAGTCAGTGTCGTTTCCATGGAATGCAATAATGTTAAAAAAAAGTAAGCTAATACTTAGGTTATCGTCTTAAACAAATCAATCTACATGAATGATTTACCCATGGAGGATAATTGCACTGTGCATCTTAGTAATTCCTAATAGTTATCGCGATATTGAACTAAACTGCTGAGCAAGAATTCTCGATAAACTACAGCTAGCATTTTCCGTTCAATATGATATACTATAATGGAAAAAACTAGTCTTATGCCATAAGATATAGGTTTATTTTCCTACAGAGACATCGATTCTTGAGCTTTTTTATTTTTTATTTTTTTATTTTATAACTATGCGGATCCCACCACATGATTGTGAGAGTGGTAAGAGATACTTCTCTTCTATTGATGGAGATTAATAAAGCCCTATTATAATATAATATAATTTTTGTGGTTGATGTTGGGATAATGTCATGTGCAATCTAGAGTACCCTCCCACCAACCTACAAAGAATATGCCTCATGTGGTTGATGTGGGGATAATGTCATGTTCAATAGAGTACCCTCCCACCAACCTTCAAAGAATATGCCTCCTGGCGCTTACGCACATGGTGGGGGAAAAAAGGGGGTTTGTGTAATTTTATGTTGTAGAGAGAAAATGAGTGGGTCCCACTATTACAAAAAAAAAAGTGCGGTGCGGAAATCAAAGTGAGATAACATGAGAGAAGTTATTTTATGTGAAAGGAGAGTAATATTTTTCATATATATACAGGAAAAAGTATTTCTCCAGTCACCGGAGATAAAGTTATCTCCAGTGAGCTCAAAACGACGTCGTTTTGGGTTATAAGATTAAAAAATTATAATGACAAAGACTAATATAACCCTTTAATATATTATAATTATATAAATACCATGATTTCTGCTCCAAAACTACATCGTTTTGAGCTCACTAGAGATAATTTTATTTCCGGTGACTGGAGAAATTCTTTACCCACATATATATGTGTGTTATATTTATAAACCTTTTGTTTACAAACTACACTATAGGTTACACTATGTTCTCCCGGGAGTATATAGTATAATTTGCAAAAATTTGTAAAAAAAAATTTGTAATCAGATCATTCGCATACATATATATATATATATATATATATATATATATATATATATAGAAAAGTTATAATTACAAACTTTTTGTTTATAAGCTATACTGAGTATGACCTACACTAAATATGACCTGTCATACTTCAATCAAGGGTGTATGACTGGTCTTACTTAGTGTTGTTTGTAACAAAAAGAAATTATAAACGAATCATTTGTAATCGGATATATATATATATATATATATATATATATATATATATATATATATGAGAATTATTTTTCTCATGTTGCATAAAATAAAAGTAATTTTCCTACACTCACAAAAGGAAGAGAGAGGAGTGAGAGTAGGAAAAAGAGAAAAAATTTAAAGTGGGTCCCACATAAAATTTGTGTGTGTAGGAAGATTGTTTTATCTTATGCAACATAAGAAAAACAATCCCCTATATATATATATATATATATATATAGAGAGAGAGAGAGAGAAAGAGTGTGTGTCCTTTTAAATGACGTAAATTTAGATTTTTTTAAGAAAGAGATGTGGGTTCCATTGAAAAAAATAAAGACAAAAAAAACGTGGACCCATTTCTTTGTGTCTTTCTCTCTTAAAACGATCTAAGTTTATATTCTTTAAACAAAACACACTTAGGTCATTTTAAGAGAGAGGTAGATACAAAAAAGTGTCAATCTCACTGGAAAATAAATAAATATGTGAGACTCACCTCTTTGTATATACCTTTTGTTAAATCTAAAATTATATAAATCATGCAATGATTATAAAATACCAAATGTTAATAAATCAGAGTTGTAATTATGTGTACCTTGTTGGGCCATCACAAAGTCGGAGAAGAACGGTTGGAAATATGGGAACAAGATGCTAGAGTCTTCCTCTCTATTACCTATTCAGAAATTGGCAGCCCTCAGCAGATGGGAGCATGATGGCTTATGGAGCTTAACTCCAATATTTATAGGCTAGAGAGGGGACCTAGCTAATAACCTAGAAAAGAGTCTGTGTCCACTGGGTCCATCCATCATGGAAAACCAGGGTCACACTAAAGCCTACACTGCTGCCCAACTAGGCCCAATAACAACAGATGCTAGAAGCCCAATTCAATGTGATCACAATGAGCTAGTTACAATAATAATATTGAAATATCCATTAACCCGATTAATTTTAAATACAAAACTAATTAATTAATATTGCCCATAAAATAAATTTCTAACATTCTCCCACTTGGGCTATATTAATTAATTTAATATTATTTTGAAAATCATTTTATTTCGAAAACGACTCTATCGGGTTAATAACTAAAAAATAATTTTACGTGGCCACAATTTTGAAAAACAATATTCCAATTTCAGCATCTCAACACAATTCAATCCAACATAATCTCCTCATAGGAATATGGCGATCAATATACCGAAAATATCATAGCATATGACCTTCCATACTCACATACAATGAGTATTATATCTTCATGAATCAAGGCCTAGTAGTGTAGTAAGAATTAGTGCCAAAATGTGATCAACAATGTGACACACTAATTCTTATCGGTCCTCAATGTAATTTCTCAACAACATGAAATTACATTAGTGCAATTTCCAAGCAACATGAAATTACACTCTGTAATGCAACTTCTGAACAACATGAAATTGCATTACCACAATTTCTAAACAACATGAAATTGCACTTCTTGATACGATTTCTCAACAATATAAAATCGCATCACTGCAATTTCTAAACAACATGAAATTGTTTTGCTTAAATAAGCCAGTATGTCACAGTACAACATGAGATCTCAAAATTTGTGACATCCAATCACCTTTAAGCTCACAACATGCTTAAAGATATTATTCCATACATATATTTCTTAGTCGACAGGAGAAATAATAATAATGATGATCATCATCAATTACGTAAATTCAAACAAATATCACAAAATAATTATCAGTTTGCATAGAAAAGAAACAAAATGAATATGACTCCCACTAACCAAAGGAATCAAAAAAAAAATCTAAAATATTCAAAAGCAAGCATTGAGTATTACTCCCACTAATTAAGGGAATCAAAAGATTCTAAAGAACTCGTATTCTATATACAAAAGAAGCTACTCTAAGGTCTTTCTTTTCAAAACTTTTAGATAAAAGGCTATTGTCTTATTCAATAAATCAACATATTACTAGCAAATAAAATGTCATCTACATAAAGTACTAAGAAAATATATTTACTCCCACTTACTTTCATGTAGATGAATCAATTAATGAGCATACACTGGCTTCAGAGATCTGTCCCCTTTAGGCAGATAGATCACCTAGACCAATGCACCTCCAATAATTTTATTACAGTTAAGCTTCCAATTAAAACACACAATAACCCCCTTTGGGCAGGAAATTGCATGAAATAACTAGAAGCACTCCTCAATAATTTTTTTGTATGTAAATAGTTCAAGCGGAAGCATACAATCCAATAAACAAAATATTACAGCATGCAACACAGGTCGAGAGTACAAAATTATACAACAATATCAAATTAGAGATAATTTTTCAATACATTTTGCACCAAAATATACCCAAAAATAAAATAAAATTCATAATTGATAGAATTTAACACAAGTTAATCTTTATCACTAAAAGTTATACACATAATGTAATAAATTAATCATGAGCAATAACAAAAATAATTAAATATCATAGACTCCCCTTTGGGCAGAGTATATAATATATAATTATTTTTCATCACATGAAGATTTAACAACGGAGAAAATTATATACAATTGTCTAAAATTTATCCCCTTTGGGCAGATAAATTTTATAAATTATATATCTCCTTAATTCCAACATAAATGCATCATATTTAATTTTCAAAAAATTTATCCCCTTTGGACAGATAAATAATTTTCAATTAGATATTCCCATCAATAATATTT